TCTCTCTCTCTCTCTCTCTCTCTCTCTCTCTCTCTCTCTCTCCCTTTTAAAAAATTAAATTAGAAATAAGCTTATTTTACATCCCAGTTCCCTCTCCCTCCTCTCCCTGCCCCCCACCAATTCCCTAGCCCATCCCCTTTCTGCTCCCCAGGGAGAAAGAGGCCTTCCATGGGGATCTTCAATATCTGTCATATCTGTTGGAACAGGGCCTAGGCCCTCCCCTGTGTGTCTAGGCTGAGAGAGTATCCCTCTATGTGGAATGGGCTCCCAAAGTTCATTTGTATACTAGGGATAAATACTGATCCATTACTAGAGGCCCCATAGATTTCCCAGGCCTCCAAACTGACATTCTCGTTCAGGGGGTCTGGATCAGTCCTATGCTGGTTTCCCAGCTGTCAGTCTGGGGTCCATGAGGTCCCCCTTGTTCAGGTCAGCTGTTTCTGTGGGTTTCTCCAGCCTGGTCTTGACCCCTTTGCTCATCACTTCTCTCTCTCTGCAACTGGATTCCAAGAGTTCAGCTCAGTGTTTAGCTGTTTCTTCTCATGAAACCTCTCTTAAAGGAGCCGTGAGCCTCTCTGCTTGCCTCTAGCAAACAGAGACCACCTGAGAAAATACTGCTACCAAGAAGCCATGCTTGCCTCTGTTCTTTTGTTTTTATAATCTTTTTAAGTTTTTGTAAGGTTTTATGTGGAAAATCTCTCTCCATGTGGTCACTAACACAAATACACTGGCAAGATGCCGCTACAACCCAGAGTAGCCATCACTCAGAGATGATGCCATTTATTGTGGGACTAGGAACCCCCAGAGATGCATATCCCTGTGTACCTTCATGGGGATAAGCCACAACTCTCACCAAGAAAGAGAAGCTTGCTGTGGTCCCTACACACTGTCAGTGGGTCACACCTCCTACAGTGTTCCATTATCTCCTGGAAGCCAGCTTGCTTGGCACATTTGTTTTAAAATACAGCATTCTCTGGCACACCTTCCATTCCAGAACTCCTGTGGTATCTGGAGTGTGGGACAGAAAGGGTCAAGGTACAGTGCTCATCCTGTAGGTGTCATCAAGAAGACAAACATGCTAGCCTCATGCAGTACCCTGGGCACCCGGTTCACTAGAGGCAGGCTTCACCCCTGGAGCCTCTTTGCTTTCTCGTCTCTTTTGCAGAGCCCAACAGCTTTACTGTGGTACAATGCATACACCATGTGTCTTGCCCATTTGAAGTAATAAGTTTGTGATTTGTCAGTATATTCCTGAGTTGTACAATCGCCAACATGATTAACTAACTGCAGAATGCTTAACTTTCAAATGAAATCATAGAGCTGGAGGGACAGTTCAACAGTTTGCAGAGGACCTGAGTTTGGTTCCCATGGTCCACATCAGATAGCTTATAAATGCCTATAATTCACCGATCCCACATCTGACAGAGGGCTGATTTCCAAAATATATAAGGAGCTCAAGAAGCTAGCCACCAAAACACCAAACAATGAAATTAAAAATTGGGGTGCAGAACTAAATAGAGAATTCTCAACAGAGGAATCTGAAATGGCTGAAAGACACTTAAGAAAGTGCTCAAAATCCTTGGCCATCAGAGAAATGCAACTCAAAACAACTCTGAGATACCACCTCACACCTGTCAGAATGGAAAATAAAAAATACCAATGACAACCTATGCTGGAGAGGATGCAGAGAAGAAGGAACACTCCTCCATTGCTTGTGGGAGTGTGAACTTTTAAGACCACTTTGGAAATGAGAAAGGCAGTTGCACAGAAAAATGGGAATCAGCCTACCTCAAGATCCAGCCATTCCTCTCTTGGGTATATA